GTTCTGCATACATCAAGTCCTGTCAATTATATTATTTAATAACTCAAATTAACATCTCTTTATTCCACTCTACTACCATAAAATACCACCTAAAAATGCTTTACGAGATTGCTTAAATGAGTCTGATTAGAAGGGAAGAGAGCATATTGTTATCTTCAACAACTAGCACAGTGTTTGGGACAAAGCAAACACTTGAAAAGTGATGGTAAATTGTAAACAATAAATTATTAAAAAATTCAGCAGCAATAACAGCAGCAATAATGATTTGATTATTAATTTAAGGCAAAGTATTTATTTGTTATATTAGAAAAACTTATTCTACTTACATTGCATAAGGCACCATAGCGAAGTATAGAGAGTAAAGAATGTACATGACTTTCACTGGTGAAATATAATCTAGTACGAACATGACGTTCAGGGGATAGAACACCTCTGGAATACCTGAAGTCAGAAGTAGACAGTGTTAAGGCAAACAGTATACTTAGTTGAGTCTTCCAATGATTTTATAACATGAAATTCATTCCGACTGGAAGTAAAAGAACATAAGGAAATCTATAATCCCTGCAAATAAATTACAGAATTTTCTTAGATGCTATTTCTCTATGAAGCTCATTGAATCTAGCTGGGACCTGAAACCCAAAGAAAAATGGATTTAATATTAATCAAGTTCATTGAAAGAGGTCCATTTAAGGTTCTCTATGAGTCATAGCTCTAAATAGGTTCAAAGTTGTTTTTACCACTTTGTGGGAATACAGTAGCGCTGATGACAAATAACCCTGTCCCCTCTTCCTCATCAGATGTTCTAAAATTTTGAGAAAAACACAAAACAACAAATAAATAAAGCTCAATTATAAGCGAACTAAGTAGAATGCCTTTTGCTATTGTTAGTGGTGACTGGGTTAATTGTGACTACTGGGGACCCAGGTGTGCAGAGTAGAACTGTTCCATGGGCTAGCAAGGCTTGTGCCCTTTGGGAAGCAGAATGCCAGGGCTGTACCTCTGGGTAGAAGTGAACTAACCTTTCAGCTTGTATCCAAGCCCTTCACTGTTTACATCACTTTAGATAATTCCCATTTCCCTAGTATAAAAACATAATTTAAATGTGATGTATGCCAAAACGCACGTAAAGAATCAGTAGTTTCTTACACAGGATGGAGCTTATTTACAGTGTCATCATCTTGTGTCCTTTGAAGGTCCGAACGAATTTTTCTAACTAGAGGCGTACAGTAGCCTTTGGCAATCTCCAGTTTTTCAGCTTTAGTTATACCATATTCCTGAGCAGAAAAAATATATTAGAAAGGACATAATGTCAAAAATTGAATGAACATCCTTTGGAATTAAAAAATTATAGCAAGAAAGGAAATACATCATCCTTAAATGTGTTACATACAACTGAAAGGATTTTTCTTAAATTACAAAGTTAGTAATTTCTACATAGGAGAAGATGAATATAACCTTTGTGGGTATTAATTCAGTTCAATCAGAGATTTTAAATGGAAAAATAACCTAGAAGAATGATGGACTAGGGTGACAAACACGAAAGTAAAGACTACATCTATACATTTATAGTCAGGAAATATACAAGGGACTTATATATTTATTAAAGACCTAATATATTTCAGTATAAGAATTAAAGTAATGATATTTTAATATATCCAATGTCCAAGGATGAATAGAATTTAAATCTTTGGCCTATATTTTTAAAGTTTTAACTGCCAATGAACAAAATGATCAAAAATCAAGTTCAATAGTATCTATAAACACTACAAGGTAATAAGGCTTATAATAAATCATTATTATAATCTGGAGTGTTAAAAAGAAGCATAACAACTTTATAATGGCAGATTAGAAAAATGACGTGAGATAGGAGAAAACGAAACTGCTAAGAGGGGAAGGGAGGCAGAGGGTACAATAGAATGTAGGTAGCAATCGAAGAGAAATGGAGAAGGAAGCGGGAGAGAGCACACACTCGCTCTAAATTCATTCTGTTGCTGTTAGGTGCATTACATCAACTTCAGCTCTCAGCAATGTTGTGTGATAGAACAAACTGCCCCACAGGGTTTTCTAGGCTCTAGTTTTTATAGAAACAGATCACCAAGCTTTTTTTTGTCTCCTTGACTTACTGGGTAGATCTGAACTGTAAACCTTTGGGTTAGGGAGCATCTCTATCATTAGGGATATCTCATGCTAAGATACCTGAAATAAAGTCTCCTTCCTGATACCACGAAATCTCCATAAAGATTCACATGGCTAAACATCGATATGAATAATATAAGGGGGCTTCAAAAAGTTTCTGGAAAAATTGTTTTATCTTTTCATTCACAAATTTCTGGAAGGCCACTCATATGTGTGAAGCCAAAGAAAAATGCTGAGATTTAAGAAACTACCAGGGGATTATGCTAGGAGAAATAAGCCAGATACAAAGGGCAAAAATGATTATTCTTCTTGCATGAAATATCAAGATTATGCAAATTCATGATAATAGAATGAAAACTAAGGCTACCTGGGGCTGGAGAGAAGGGAAGGGGGGTGAGTTATAGAATAGTATATGTATCGATTCTGTTTATGGTCCTGAAAAGGTTAGGCGCAACTAACCTTTGGCCGTTGGCAAATCACTGCAGGTTTCGATTTTCTTGAAATGTCTTCTTAATAATTCCCTGTGATGGTTCTATGTTCTTCATGGACATTGATTAAGATTCTCCTTGGGATACCCAAAAGCAATTGCCCTAATTTCCTGAGCGGACTTCTCTGCCTTAAATTTTACTGCCAAAGCAGATTCCTTTAGCAGCCAATGTTGTGATTGGACCAAATTTTAAAAGGCACTTTAAGAGCCCTGGTTAAGTGTTGGGTTGCTAACCACAAGGTTAGAGGTTCAAATTTACCAACCACTCCACAGGAAAAAGATGCAGTTGTTGGTTCCCAGAAAGATTTATAATCTCAGAAACCCTGTATAGGACCACTATGAGTCAGAACTGACTTGATGTCAGTGGGCTTTGTTTGATCTGGTTTTTAATCAGACTAAGGCAAATATAATACTGACCACATTGGAAAAAATCTGTACATATGTGAAGATGAAACTAAAAAAATATTTGCATTTACTAAACTTTACTTTTTGATTTACCATTATCTATCTGATCAAACACATACAGAGTGGCTCTTTCATGCTGAAGGGATAAGCTTATCTTTAACAAATGCTTTTAAGTAGGTTGCTCACTATCTAAATTCTGAGTGTTTCAAAGTTACTAACCTTCCTTGGTCTGAGTATTAGGAAAGGAGACTGTCATATTTTTAACGAAATATATGGGCATTTATAAGTGAACAAAAAACTATAATCTTTATCATCCTCAGATATATCATTTTTTCCTTTATTTTGATTTACAATTGGAATATCTGTTCCACTCTTGCTATCTCATTTATAAGAACCAAATCATTTTTTCATAATAAGCTAAAAGTTATAGTAAGGTCTCAGCCAATTTTTTCTAGTAACATAGCTCTGCTTTCACTTTGTTCTGTTACTTTCTCTTTTATTATTAATGTGATTCTCTGCATATCTGCATTTCTGTGGGAATAAACCAACACATGTCCCAAAAACTACCTATATCTTGATATTTAAAGATCATTTTCAAGTTTTAAAAAGTAGCAAGACGTCAAAAAAATTTTACATAGGGGCTAAACTACCCTGTCCTCCCCATCTCCACATATTTCCATAGCATATAACTGGTAGATACACAATTTGATGGTCAGGGGTTTAGTTTTGATTTGTTTTTAAATCAGGCTAAGACAAATTTATTACTGAATTTGTTGCCATCCGCCATGACAGACAAAACAGGTGCTTAAGAATTACTTAAGTGATTTATTCTATATTGTTTTCATTGATTTGGCTGGTTAGTATATTATTTTTTTGAGAATTAAGAATTATTTTTTTAAGTCGCTATTATCAAACCATATGTAAACCACATTGTAATGTAAGTTAATATAACTAAGAAAAATATGAAAATATGTATTTATGATTATTTGTTTTCCTTTTAAAAGTTATGAGTTTTAAATAGACACTAAAACTATCTTTTATGCAGTAATAGATATTTTAAAAGTATTTATTAATACAATACTGTAGTGAATAAGAGCTACTTACTTACCTGAGGGATAACAATATCTGCTAGAGCCTTTGAAAGTCTATATAATTCCATTGTGTTTTCTAATTTCAAAGAACCATTATGCTGGACATCATATTTTATACAATCATATATGTCTGGAATTTTACTAATGTCATATCTTCCATTCTTTGTTTTAAAGTCTTTTTCCAACTTGGACCATCGACGAAGCATAAGCTCTAATGTCTCACTATGGTAAAGCTGAATATCTAAAATAATATAACATTTTTAATATATTCAACTTTAAAAAATAATTCATAAAAAGTAATTGTCAATAATTAGAACCCTTTAAAATGTCAAAGGTAAAATTGTAACATTAAGAAATATTATTATAGTGTGTCACATATTTCATTGATGTACAACATTGAGTCAATTTCCACTTTAGTGACTATATGACAAACCAAAGTGCCCAACATGTATTGGTTCAGCATGCCAGATTTTCTCTCATGCAGGGTGGCTGATGAGTTCTAACCATCAATCTTGCGTTAAGAAGCTAAGCACTTAACCAATGTGCCATCAAATCTCACCTTCTTATTCTTACTTGTTCTTCCCTCCTGGCATAAAGTCATTGGAGTCTAAGCTTCTATCTAACCTTTCAAGTTGCTATTGTCAACTTAATGCCCATAGTTCTTTACAAGAGTGTAATACTTAAGATAGTCATTGTATACTAATTAAGCTGAACTGTTATTTGCTTTATAGAACACTTCAAGGGATATTTTTGGTTTAAGGTTTAAGAATTATGTAAGGGTAATAATTTGGGGAGTTAATCCAGCTTCAATGGATTCTGAAAATTGGGATCACATGAGAATTTGAAATTCTGCTCTACTTTTCCAAATTTCTGATAAGGATTCTTCTACAGTTACATTATAATTTTTAATACTTTCATTGTTATAGCATTGTCACCAATAACAGAACAGGAAAAGTTTTTTAAGTGAAAGGAACCTTAAAAGTAAAACAAATGTTTTCACTCTTACAAGAAACACAAGACACAAAGTTAACTTAGTTATTAACCAAGCTAGTCTGCGTCAGTCTGAATCACCTATAATTACTCCTTATAACAATATCTATTCAGTGGTTAACTACCTGGCTACATCATATAATTAAATGTTCGAATGAGAATATTTTATTGTCTCCTAAAATGCTATCATTGTTAAAGGCAACTATATCGTAGCTAGTATTCTTTTGTTGGATACACATTAACCTATACCATGCTTAAGAGTTTTAGAAAGAGATTATATTTCTTAAAATGAGTGGTAAATCTCATTTAAAAATACAGACCCCAGACATAATTTTTGTTTTATGCCAAGAATCTATAATATTTACCTGATGACTTAGGATCTTCCATTCGATGTCTGATTTGAGAAGTCAAACTCTGAATCAAGGAATAAACTTTGTCACAGGTCTTCACAGGATTTTTAATGAAATGCATTGATTTGATGAGGGAAATGCTTCCCGATGGAGTAAGCTACAAGTAAGTAAAGCACATAATTTATATCTGGTTATCCCTCAAGTAATCAGAGAATAATACAGTTAATACAACATTTCCTATACTTGGGGGCCAATTCCATACAATAAATTTAAAGACTCTCTAAAACACAGTAATATAATCAAGCAAGAAGTAACATTCATATTAAAAATTATCAAATGTTAACTATGATAAGATTATTATGAATAAATTTAGCAATACTCTATAAATTTTATGACAGCTTTTTAATTTGTATTTAAAAACAAAAACCTCACAGACATTGAGTCAATGCTGTCTCAGAGACCCCTCTGGGTTTCTGAGACTGTAACTATATATGAGAATAGAAAGCCCAGTCTTTCTCTCAAGGAATTGCTACAAGTTTCGAACTTCCAACCATGTGGATCACAGCCCAACATGTAGTCACCACTATGCCACCAGGGCTCCTTTTCACTTGTATAGAATATGTATAAATATGTGTCTACCCACATGATCCATAATCATGTTACCCATTTAGAGTAACTCAAACAGAATAATATAAACCCCTAGTAGACATAAAACTAAGACAAGAGACTTGAAGAGAGCCCTCATGAACAGGGATATCTAAAAGGTTGATACTTAAGCCACAAGTGAGACACCACTGAACATACATGAGGATGGTAAAGACAGAATAGTTTAGATTGTACAAAGAATAGAGACTATGTGGAGCAATGACAGTAAACAGACTTCTGGGTCAAATGTAAATTCATGTGATTAATTTTAAAAGGAATTTTATACACACACACACACACACACACACACACACACATATATTCCCCCAAAACAGAATTTATTTTCAAAGCTATGTAATTAATTTTTTTTTCACAAAACAACTTTATCATCTTCAATGTACTCTCCATTACAATTAATACACTTGTCAAATCTTCAATTCCATTCTTGGAAACATTTTTCAAACTCATCTGTTTGGATGGCTAACAGCACCTCCCTCATTTTTTTCTTCACCTCTTTTATGTCATTAAATCACTGTCCTTTCATGTTCTTCTGCATTCCCGCAAACAAAAAGAATTGCACTTAGTGAGGTCAGGTATGTAAGGTGCATGGGACAAGAGAGGCATGCTGTTTATTGCCCAAAACTGGCACACTGAGATGGCAGCATGAGCAGATGCATTGTCATGGTGGCAAAACCAGCCCCAGTCTGCCACAAATCAGGCCTTTTTGTGGTATACTGTTACTCAATCTTTTCAGAACCTCTAAATAGAAAGCTTTGTTCCCTTTGGAACAAACTCCAAATATACTATAAGTCGACATTTTCAGGAAGTGTCGGAAGTGACGGATGTCCAGAATGAGGTTTGTCATCAATCAACATTTCACCTTTTTTGAAATGAGAAAACCACTCTTACACTTGAGCTTTTCCATAGAACTGTCCTTGTAAGCTGTGTTCAACATCACAACAGTTTCTGTGGCATTCTTCCCAAGCAGGAAACAAAATTTCACTGGTGCACGCTGTTCTCTTAGATCAGCCATCACAAAAAGCGAGGAGCAGGCAAAACTGCTTTTACAAAAAAATTCACTGTGGCCACAGAGAACCTTCCTAGGCAATGCCACTGGGTGCAATAACTCAGAGTGAGTTGTTTGATTCTCGCCTAGCGGCAAAGACGTCTACTACTACTACTGCTACCAGCACTACAAAAGCTCCTCTCTGCCCAGTGCAATGCCAGTTTTGGGGGGGGTACTCCCTCATATTATCAAAAGCACCAGGAGTCATACAAAGATATTCATAGTAGCATTAGTTGTAACATCCCTAAATTGAGAATAATAAAAGAAAGCATATTTAAATGTTGTATAGTCCTCATCTAGAGCATAACTCAGCCCTATGGTCTGTAGACCAAATGTGACCAGATTTAAATGTGACCAGATTAATAGTTTTAAAAGGTAGTTAAAATCAATTATAACAAAAACCAAATGCAACATAGATCCTATTTAGGCAAAGCATAAAATATCTAGAATGGTCTTTCACAGAAAGTTTACTAGCCCTTAAAAATATACTAAATACAAATGAAAATTAACTAACTAAGACAATATTCAACAATACTGATGACTTAAAAAATTATATTACACCAAATTAACTAAATATAAAACACATTGCATTATTCGATTACAGTAAAACCTGCAGAAGCTGTAATCTGTATAAAAAGGAAAACTCAAAATATCTTCCATTAATAGAAAGAGATATGCGAGTGGTAAAACCATCCTGTCAAAGGCAGAAAACCCACAAGACTCAGAAATCAACCCACATGATTCAGAAATCAAGTCAGTCATGTCAGGGCAAGGCTATCACAGGTTTCATTGCTTATGAAATTTATACAACAATGAAAAACAAGACAAAGTGTTTAAGGGTACATTCTTACAAAGTATTCTAGAAATAAGGATATGAGACAAAAAATAGTAACTAAAAAGCCATAATATAGGGACCATCTCTCAGTTATTCCAATGTTCTATTTCTTTACCTAGGTGGTGTTTATGAGTTTTACTTTTACAATACATATAAGCTTGAACTTTGTTTTATATATATTATCTTCATGCATTGAGTATTTAAAAATGTAGGAAAAGAGCTTGCCAAGAAATACCTTCTCATAATCTTCCGCAGTAAAATCTCTGTCTTTCTGAAGTATTTCATGAAGCCTTGCTTTCACACGTTGCTGACAACTGCTCAGGGAGTCACTATCGCTATCCAAAAGTCCATTCATATTTGCACTTTTTACCATCTGAACAAGAATAGGTGTAAGCTCTCCTTCTAAAGCTAATAGCCCCTAAACATGAAAAAATCCAATAGATTAAAAGGATAATATGTAAAATAATAGAAATAAATTATTTGGCTGAATTTCATGTAATTATCATAAACTTAATAATGATATAGTTGATCAATGACATTAGAGTGCTTTAGTTGCAATTTCCAAATTCACAATTTTTAAATTAAATCTTTGAATTTAAAAATTAAATATTGCCTTAGTAAAAATCTTTCAAAGGCAAGTTTAACTAAAAATTCTGGTACATCTAAAACACATTTATACCTTTGCAAAAGCAGCTGCAGTCATCTGGACTCGTCCCTCATCAGATGCATATATTTTGAGGTCATGTCGGTAGGTACTATGTAATCTAAGTAAACCACAACCAGGAAATCCTGCATAATCTCCTGAAAATAAACCCTCAAATCACTTAAGCTATATTTTCATCTCAATGTACTTCAATAAAAATTTAAGAACTTCTCAATGTAAATGAGAATTTAAAGATACTATGTATACATTTAATAAATGTAATAAAATCCTAAAATTTACCTTGACCTCCAGGATACATACACCTGAAAGCTCTTCCAAGTTCTTCAGCCTGAACCCTGCCTGCAGGAGTTAGTTCTCCTCCCCATTTTAGAACCAAAAGTAATGAAGGTTCTTCTCTTCTGCTATCTAGGATGCATATAAAGGGATAAAACAAATGTCAAGAGTTTTTGTTTTATAACACATGCTTGGTGATTTCTCTTCTGTAGTGGAATACAGACAATATACAAAATATTTCCTTCTTTAAAAGTACCTATTTTTATAAGTTGTTTCTGATGGCAATTCTGCCTATACCATCTCTTAATGTCCTATTAAAACTTCAAAATCCCTTTCAATTTTGAGAGAAAGTACATTCACAATTTTCTTATGAGAAGACTGCTTTTCCCTTTTCTGATCTCATACAGGTTTGCCCAAGATCTTTTGTAGTTGCATTACATTATGATAGATGAAGAGCTCCTCAACAGTAGCAACCCGATCTTCCTTTCTTTATAATAAGGGCTTTTATGCTGCTACCACAAAGAAGACACTACATTAGCTGAAATGAAGAAGATACATATATTTTTATAAATGAAATCATGAAGCTGTATAATTTTTAGAAAATTGTGATGAGAGGGTCAAATGTATTTTCACTTTCTGGGTGCTAAGTACAGGAAAACAGTTTTTTTAAATTTGGAGTTGTGGAATCAGACCAGAGTGTTTCCACAGTCAAGGAGGAGGTATCATAAGTGAGTTTCTGTACTTAACTTTAATCTGGCCTTTATCATGTTCTCAAGAACAGTGTTGGGTTATGGAAACATAGGTCATGCAAAATTAAGCATGATAAATGCAAAAAGAACATAATGAAAATGTATTAAAAAACCCAGAGGCCTACTTTATAGTTTTACAAGTTTTACTATAATTATCAAAGAACCCTACTGGCAGAGTTATGAACTGGGCTGTTAAACACCAGCTCTCTGCAGGCTTCAAAAAAACCTTTCTGCTCCCATAAAGATTTAGTCTCAGAAACTCACAGGGGCAGTTCTACAGGGTTACCACTGAAAGAGTGAGTTTGTTTGCTGGTTTTTGGTGAGGGGGTTTATCATGTCTAGCAATGTGAATTTATGAAAGGATCATTAATTTTAGTTGACTTTTAAATTTTAAATTATTAATAGACTAACCACCAAAAATAACTAAGACGTAGCATGTCAAATTTTAAGTAAATTAACATATTTAAATTAACATTTAAGAAATTCATTACTTCTATTCTCCTACCAGAAATTATATTGTCAATATCCCTACCAATCAATTCTTTCCAGAATTATCTGATTATTTCTTATAAGTACAATTAAAGTAAAAGCATATAAATGTTTTACAAAATTTTGCCAAATTATTTTCCAAAAACTGTGCCAATCAGCAGACTATAGTACTGTTACACTGATTTGTCATCAGCTTTTAAAAAGAGAATGACTTTGCCAGTGTGATAAGCAAAAACAAGGTAATTCATTATTACTACTGGTCATCTGCATTTCTCAAAAAATAAAGGCTTAAAAAAATAAATAAAATAAAGGCTTTATGTGATTCTTTCCCATTTTTCTTTCAAATGTTAATGAATTTATAAGCTTTAGTGCTGACTATCTTAGGAAGCAAATTCTATTTAAATATTTATTCTGCCTTATTGAATGGAGGAAAGTATCAATTTATTGTAGGAATATGTTGATTCTGTATTTTTAAAAAATCTTTTCATACGTCTTGAGTTTTCTTCTGGTATACTTCACTCATCTATACTAAAAGGACGAAAGAAGGACATTAAATAGTATTAGGTTGGAAACAAATTTCTAAAATATCCACAGAGTAAAAAGAAAAAATCCTAAGCCCTCAGCCATTGGATGAGATCAAGAACATCATAAATGAAGAAAGCAAAAGGTCATTACAAACACAGGATAGAAAGATCAAAGTGGATATTATTGTGAAGTTGTTGTTCAGGGCCGTTGAGTGGGCTCTGATCCATAGTAACCCTATGCAGAACACTGCCCAGACCTGCACCAGCCTCACAATTGTTCCTATGCCTGAGCCCATTGATGCAGCCACTGTGTCAATTGTGGAGTAGCTAAGGCAAAGGGAGGAGATGATGAAGTCAAAGCACTGAATAGAAAATTCCAAAGAGCAGCCCAAGGAGAAAAAATAAAATATTATAATGAAATGTGCATAGATCTACAGTTAGAAAAACAAAAAAAAAACATGCTCAGCATATCTTAAACTGAAAGATACAATCCAAACCTCAAGTTGCAATATTGAACAGAATTCTGTGGGCAAAATATTGAACGACATAAGAAGCATCAAAAGAAGATGGAAAGGATACACAATGTCTCTGTACCAAAAAGAACTAGTCAATATGTACCATTTCAAGAGAAAGCATATGACTAAGAATCAATGGTTTTAAAAGGATTCCAAGCTTCTCTGAAAGCATTAACCAAAAACATGGGTCCAGAAATTCATGGAATGGCAACTGAAATGTTTCAACAGCTGATGAAGGACTAGAAGCACTTACTCAGGAGGCCAAGTAACTTGAAAGAGAGCTACTTGGCCAACTAAATAGAAGAGATCCCTCTTTGTACTCATTCTAATTAAAATAATAATACAATAATATCAATGATATCACATGTAAGTAAAATATTGCTGAAGATCATCCAACATTTGCAACAGTACTTTGACAAGAAGCTGCCAGAGGCTTAGGCTAGATTCAGATAAGGATGTGAAACAAGGCAAATCACTGTTATTGATGTCAAATGGATCTGCGCTCAAAGCAGAGCATACCAGAATGATGCTTACTTGTGTTAATCATTTACTATGCCCACACATTTGACTGATGGATTATAACAAACTACAGATAGCCGTGAGAAGAATGGGAATTCCAGACCACTACATTGTGCTCATGCAGAACCTATACATGGATCAAAGGCAGTATGCAAAAAGAACAAGAGCAAATTCCATTGTTTAAAATCAGGAAAGGTAGATGTCAAAGTTGTATTCTCTCATCATACCTATTCAATCTATAAACTGAGCAAATAATCAGAGAAACTTAAAACTATACAAGGAAGAATGCAGCATCAGGATTGGAGATTATTAATAATCTGCACTATGTAGATGACACAAGCTTATTTGCTGAAAGTGAGGAGATCTTCGAGCACTTGCTGATGAAAATCCAAGATGAAAGCCTTCAGTATCGATTACAACTCAATGTGAAGAAAACCAAAATCCTCACAAGTGGACCAATAGGTAACATGATGATAAATGAAGAAAAGACTGAAGTTGTCAAGGATTTCATCCTGCTTGGATCCACAATCAATGCCATGGAAGCAACAGTCAAAAGATCACATGATGCATGTATTGTGAAAATCTGCTGCACAAGACCTCTTTCAAGTGTTGAAAAGCAAGAATACTACTTTGAGGACTAAAGCACGCCTGATCGAAGCAATAGTATTTTCAATTACATAATAAGTTGGTCACTTACTACAAAAGACTGAAGAAAAATCAATGCATTTGAACTATGGTGTTGGTATCAAAGGTGCCATGGTTTGCAAAAGGGCAAACAGATACCTATCAGAAGGACATCCAGAATTCTCCTTAGCAATAAGAATGGAGTACTTAGTATCATGTACTTCGGACATGTTCTTAGAAGGACCAGTCCCTAGAGAAGGACATCCTGCTTGGTAAAATAGAAGGGCAGAGAAAAGAAGCAAGGCCCTTGACAAGATAGACTCAGACAGTGACAGCAAGCACGGTCTCAACCACAGAAAACTGGGAGGATGGAATAGAACTGGACAGTGTTTCTTTTTGCTGTACAAAGAGTCACTATGAGTCGGAACTGATTTGAAGGCACCTAATAACAACAATAAACAGTTCAAAATAAACAAAACCTACCCCTTACATAAAAGATAGAAACGCACAGCTTATAAAATCAAACTATTTTTTTTCATTAGTTGGCATGCCAGTCTCTAAGCAATTAGGCAGCAAAGATCTAAAAAGTAATCACCAGGGAATCAAGTCATTATGTATAGTAGTGGTTCTCAACCTTCCTAATGCCGTGACCCTTTAATACAGTTCCTCATGTTGTGGTGCCACCAAACCATAAAATTATTTTCATTACTACTTCATCACTGTAATTTTGCTACTGTTATGATTCAGGCAACCCCAGTGAAAGGGTTGTTCAACCCCCAAAGGGGCTGCGACCCACAGGTTGAGAACTGCTGATATATAGTTAAAATGCAATAGGCATTAATAACAAATACCTTCTTCTTCACTAGATGTTTTAGGACAACCGTGAGGAAGATAGGTCAATTGTACCTTACGATTTATTCCAGAGAAATGGCCATACCTGAAAAATAAAATGGTGAACAAAATGAGTAATATTCAATAAATGTTTACTTTACCTTATGAAGAGAAGCTAAATTCCATGTAGAGAAAAATAAATCTTACATATTAGTCTCCTTTTATTTATAAATGCCTTTCTCAAATCTCCAATATATCCTAGCAGAAAATGTGTACTATAGGTACTCATTTTATCCACCTTAAAACCAAACAAAACACCAAAAGAAGGTTTCTATAAAAGTTGGGCAATTTTCAAAAGACAACGAAGTATTTATATATGTAAAAATACAAATATGCCTCTAAAATATAAAGGCTATAAGATCATAAATAGTGAAACATGGAACACTTACAACAGGAATACTGGTGTGCCAATTTTGTTGATTAAAACACTTTTCACTTAACACTGAATCTATGGTCAACTGAGTGATGTGGCTGGTTCTCAGTTGAAACAGTTCTTTATGGAAAATGTAATGTTGATGTCCTTTAAATCTTTAATATAAAATTTAAAGTAAAACAAAAACATAACCTTTAATGTAACAATCTATTTTTTCACTGGGGTCAGTGTAAAAAGATAAAACTGTCAAAGGAATTGAACAGAGAGGTATGTATGTGAAAAGAGCATATGAAAAGGGAGCATGCTTCTCGGTGATCACAACGAAGTATTTCAATGACACCCACATCTCTAAGACGGTCTTCAGTTGTTCAAGCTTTGGCTTGTTTTCTTCAATTTCAGAATCATTATTTTGCCCGAGTTCCATAAGAAGTTGTCGTGCAATATCCAGCACTTCCTACAAAGTAAAATTAATGAAGAATTACCATTTTATATAATTTCACTACTAAAAATTGAAAAACAAGACAAACTTACTTGTAATTGTTTTGGTTTTTTGAGTTTTAATTTCCCAGATTTATATCCATCACACTTTTCAAAAAGATCAAAAAACCTTAAAAAGACAGTACACGCTCAGTAACTTATTATCACTATATATTTACATAGATCAACAATAAAAAATGATCAAAACATGACAACTTGGGTCTACGGATCCCAAGTACTATCCTCTTTCATTATGTCATACTGCTCCACTAGCTTTAATTAGTAAAACATATAATGTCCTAAACTATGTCAAACTGTTAATTAAGACATTCATTTTTGAAGTTTTTTTCATAATGAGCATATGGTATTAATACAAAACATTACATATTACTTTTTGTTACTATACACGTTAAAAAAATAAGCAGTCTAAACACATATTTAATAGCTCAGTTTTATACTTAATCATCTTCAAATAAAACAGGAAGGAGAAAACTTTCATTTTACTAATTTTCTTCTAGCAGATTGAGATATTAATGATACTCAGAAAACATTACAAGATGATGAGCCAAGGCTAAATATACATAGAATATCTTTGTAACAGTAAAGAAAAGGTTAGACTGAAGATTACTTATAGACATATTTTTGTTCTGATTCTGATATGTAAAATTATATTAATTTTGTATGCATTTAGTTGTTTAAATATTATTAGTAACTGTCAAATCAATTCTTACTTATGGCAATCCTAAGTGTGCAAAGTAAAACCCAAAAGGGTTTTCAGGGATCTGAAGAAGAATACTGCTTTCTAAAACAGCTCTGTATGGGTTCTAACCATCAACCTCTCAGTTGGTAATCGAGTACTTTATCATTTGGTCACGCAGGGACCTGTTTGAACATCAATGGCTAAGAAACAAGAGGTAAATAAAGTTTTTCTAAATAAAGTATTAATAAAGTATATCATGTATCAAGAATTGCACATTATCTCACTAAGTGTTAAGTTGTTCTTCATAAAACATACTTTTGATGCCTCACTTCCATTTTCATTTTTTGTTTTGGTGTTCGATCCCCATGACGTATGACAGCTATAACACATCTGAGCTCCATCCTATGATTGTAAAAAACATTTATGTATAACAATTCTGCTTGATGTGATTGAACTATGGAATGACATATGTGTTAACTCCTAATTAGTAATAAATTAAAATGTGTATGTTTCACAGAGAATAGTAACTTTAACAATTAGTCTTAATTTTATATTATGAATCATGAGATGACTAAAGATAATTTTAAGCTATATAATATCTGCTTTCCCTTTAGAGATTCTTCTCTTATTCTAGCAAACAAAAATGGGTGCTACTTCTTACATTTTTCTAAATATCTTATCTATAGCATATTTGTCTTACGGTATGCATATCTTATAAAGTAAGATTTCATTAAATCAAAACAAACTAAAGTTGTAGAGGATGGGTGGAATATTTGTTTTATCCATTAAAAAAAGTTTATTTCAAATTTGTATTACTGAATATAAGATTTTCTGAAAAGCATGTTGGATTCCAAACCCAATCTCACTGCCATTGAATGGATGCTGACTCATA